GTAAAAAGTGTGAACAGGTAGAATATAGCCTGCATAAATCAAGAGTATTATGGATCACGTGAAATTTGAAAGTTATACGTTGTTCATTTAAGACTTTTGGTGCATAATTTACAAATAGTTTTAAACTGGACCGAAACACCTATCCACTGGTTTCTGGTGACAATATATTTAAAAAAAATCAATGATGTGTTGAATTGATCACACAACCTGGAATCGAACCTAGGACCTCTGGTTTCATATGCGAACTCATTAAATTTAAACTATTGAGTCAGCACTCACTAGTATACATTGTCACCTAAAACAGTATCTTTGTAAAACCATGCGATTTTATAATGATTTTTAGCACTGAAATTATTTCCCTTGTATATTGACCATATTCCAACAGTTAACGACCTTTACTGATTACTGATGTGTATTATGACCTTAGTTTATATACATTCATATTTGAGGATAGCTTTGTTCTATCGCGAACTGATATTGACTGAAGAAATATATTGTAAGTTAAAAAAATGTTGAACAAATAGTATTTCATTCCAGTTTCGAATTGTTCACCAACCGTTGCTTCAAATTAATATGCGTGTTTATTTGTGAATTCTTTATTTCATCGAATAAAACTTTCATTATCATTGCTACGGCTATTTAGTTAATAATAATAATAATAATAGTATTAACATACAAAACTAAAGACATAAAAAAAAGATACTGATATAAATTAATGTAAAAAATGCATGTTTTTTTTGTTCGTAATAATTTAAAGTCAATTTTGAATATTGACATTTTTGATTTTCTATTATTATTTAGTGAATAAATTTACTGATTTTGTTTTATGAATTAGAACTATGAATGAGATGGGGAAAATTGGTTTCTATCATATCTTCTTCCTGTAAACTATTCATGCCCACCATTTCTTCGTTTTCTATTGTTTCTTCTCCATTTTCCTCTTAATTATTGTCAGATTTTGAAAAGCTGACGGAGATATCACAATGGTGTATACAGACTATCCATTCTATACATAATTGGTTCAAATCTATAGAGAAATGACAGAAAGCATTTAAATGAGGTAGTTAGAGAATTAATTGAATGGGGTGAGAGATTGTGTACTTGTGTTTTTTGATCATTTTACTTTCTGTAAACCAATTGTTGCATTGAATTCATTCATCTGTATACGTGTATGAGAAGATGAACAAATACTCTTGGCGTTTAAATTGTAGTTCATACAAAGCACCAAATGATCAAATGTGAAAAGAAAATTAAGCAAAGGAATAGAATGCATACAGTACAGCCAATATTTATGCTGATGTTGGTGGAAACGCTACAAAACTGAGTACTGTTGACATTGGAAAATCAAATTATACCATGCGATATATATATATATATATACTTGTGTCATTTTGATCATGGATAACTATACTATATACTATACTATTCTATATTTTTTAATGTCATCACCGCAATCTTTCTTTAATTGTCACCATTATTTACTGTTTCCTTTTGTTACTGTTCAATTTGGCGTCTAATCAAGTAATTCCAGTACATAGTCATTCGCATTTCATTTATTTCAACTATTCACTATACATATATATATATATATGCATATATATTTAAAATTGGATAGTTGATTTGTCTTGAATACAGTTCACTGGTTAGTTAGTCAGTTATTTGATGAAGATAGTAATTTTGAATAAACATTATTATTATTATTATTATTATTATTATTATTCATTTATAGATAATTGTCAAAGATAATTGACTGGTAATGCGTGCATCTTTAATCATGCAACTTGATATTTGTATATAGTAGATATGTATTTTCTGTACGGCTGTATGTATGCATAACTACTTATTAAAAATGCAACTTAATCAAGTTTGATTCATTAACAATAGACTGAAAATGAATAACTGTCATACTGATGATGATGATGATGATGATGATGAAGAATGAATGAATGAATGAATGAATGAATGAAGAGGAAGCAAAAGACAATAGTTTGTGTGATACTCTTCTCTCAGCCTAACTATATTTCATTGACGTCATTGTTTGTGGTGATGGTTGTTGTTGTTGTCGTAGTAATAAGCATACCCCTTTTAAATTGGGGTGTTTAAATATATATACACATCAACTTGTTAGTGTACTACAATGTTTTCATTTCTCTATGTATGCAGCTAGTTATTTTCTCTTTTTTTTTGGGGGGGGGAAAGAAATTTCATTTTAGATATAACTAGTTCCAACTAAATTTTTCATATATTTTCATTGTTTTGTTATTCTTTGTTTTTTTTCGCCGTGTATGTGTGATAATGTGCGTTTGTAATTAGTTTTATTTTTTCTCTATACTCAAGTCAATTGAAGTTTTGCGATTAAAATTATCCAAAAATCTTTAGAATTTTTATAGACTAAGAATGTTATCTTAGTTCTTAAATTTTTTTTTCAACAAAAAGAAATTTATTCGATGTAAACATGATCAGCTTATTATTATTATTATTATTATTATTGATAATATAGAAAATATTTTCTTTAGTCTATGAAACACTTCATAGTTGGTTAGGTAACCATCAAAAGTCAAGAAGCAATTGATTCATACTTTATCCTCATATGAGACTCTTTAGCAGTTCGCACTCATGAACCTACAGGAAAGCTGAATCTAGAAGTTTCTGATTTCGCGGTGACCAGTTAACATTTCGACCATTAAGTTGGCATCTAATGGCTTACATGTCAAAATTCAACTGACGTTATGATATGGTGAAGTTAACTGTTATTGCTTCCGGTGAATAACTATCTCACACACGACACAGTTGAACTTCACTGGTAAAGGCTTTCACTAAAAGTTACTTTTTGTGTTAGCCACCAGTAACCGCATGATTATTTTTATCAATGAAAATTGATGAATTTTCACAGTTTATTGTTGCCCATAGCAGGCAATGGAATATAGTTGCACAATATCGCTATTTGCCTGAAGATAGCCATGTTTATTATTGAATGTTGGTTCAGAGATATAAATTTTATTTAGTATTATTATTTTTTAAATCAAAAAATAAAACGGATTCTGGGAAACACTTAACCTTGGTCACTGTAAATCGGTTCATTGAACAAAGTGTAGTCTTTATTTACGAATTTTTGCATTTTCAGATTTTTTTCAATGAAAATAGTGTGGAATAATAACGTTTATAGAATTATTGAGTATTATTCAATTTTATTTTGGTAAAAATATCTTACTATATGATGAATGAAGAATGTATTATATCACTAATAATTAGTTCAATGCTAATTCACTTCATTAGATCTCCTTATTTATAAATAAATAAACAATAAAACATTTAAAATGATTCTACATTTAAAGTGTTTGGTTTATTTTCAATTATAACAGTTTAATATGTTAATAAATGATTGTAATTAATCGACTCCGAAAATGCTACTAACTCATAACTGTTCCCCGCCCTCATAAAAAAAGAAAACATTTTCATGAATTAAAACTTATTATTTGCTGTATTAATTATATATAACTAGTATTTTGTGACTGTAATTTGAATTGACTTTGAAAATGATTCGAGAAAAACCTCATTGACTGTGATATATTTAGTTGAATATTCTTTTACATTTTGTTACATATTTTAATTTAAACTCTACATTTTAGATCAACAGTACGTAGCAAGGTAGTAGTTATTTGCATTATATGTTATCTTTTCAAATATATCTGCCAATTTTCAAATTTAATTGAGGGTATCCATAAAAGTGTTCCATTAATGATGATCAATTTTCTGGTTTAATTGTCTTTAGAAAAAAAATAAATACTGTATTTAGCATACTGAATTGCATTGGAGAGTTGGATTTCATAGTTAGTTTTCATATTATACGATGTAATTATTAATTTCTAAGCAGGACTTATTCATAGATCATTCATTTTCATGATATTTGTAGTATCACTAGTAAATAATTTCAAATTAGTTTTACTACTGATTAACAGATCAGTAGCTAATTTTTCATTGTTTATTTGGTGATAGAAAGGATACTCAATTCTGTAAACTTCTTTTCTCTAATACTTTCATTTAATGGACTGAGTACTCATTTTTAGTGCGCAGAATATGAGGTAATGATCTCATCTAACATTTGGTATCAGTGATATTGATTTTTACTAAATAGCGTGACACATTTCATTGTTAGTCATTCAATCAAAACTTTTTCCGTAATTATTTAACATAATTGATTAAAAAGAATGCAGCTGTGAATTTATATTCCCATTAAATTGAAAAACCATCATATGAATCAATTTACAAATGCAGTCAATGCACTTACACATGTTAATTTTGACTTGATTGAGACCAATTTTGTCTCTTGTGCTGTTACGGGTATGAGGGTGGATGTCACTTCCCGTGGAAGGGTGTCTATTGAGGAACTTGAAAAAGAAGGTAGATTAGTGTCAGTCTTAACGACCTGGGAGCGTGACCGAAGAGTCCAAGAGACAACTGCTTGAGGCCGGTCCACGCACGGCCTTTTATGAGAGGTTTTTAGAGTATTAGCTCCGCTCTTTTTAAAGCCCTTAACGTCGAAGACAGAAATCCGTGAGGTAGGGTGATGTATGACATTTTTAGGGTCGATCTTTTCTAACTCTTCCTTCCTTGTGAGGAGGCAGCGTCGCTGTAGATGCTGGTTGTCCGAGGGAAACACCTTACTGCTGTCACACCCCTCTGCAGTCAGCAGTACGATTTCAGACTCGGACCTTGAGTAGCTGCTTTTAGTCTCATCGTTCTCCAATTGACCTGCCTGACATAGTAGAACCTACAGGAACGTATTTTCCAGCCGGTATAACTCGGTTGGTCGTTGCGATAGGCAAGCGCGACCACCACGTCAAGGTGGCAGCTAATCCACTTAAAACTAATGAGATCAATAAAACCTAGATCATAGTTTACCAGAAAATCATTGAACCGATTATTTTTACCGCTCTCAGTCAGTTAACTCCTATTTGTATAACTTAAAACGAATATCTTTTTTTACTTTATTTATAAAGAATTCGGAAGAAACAAAAATTTGGGAAAATAGTAATATCAAATTTGATGAAGAAAATTGTTTACTTTTGAATAAGACAACACTTTCATCAATTGTAACAACAGGACAAGAAAGGTATGTTCAGATTTTTTCAGTATTTCTTTCTCAATTACATGATTAACTTAGAGATTTGGAAGTGTAAATACTTTGTTTATGTTTTATCAATGGATTATAAGTCTTTAGTTTAATCAATTAGTAAGAGGTTTATGCATGTGTGGGTTCATTGAACTAATTGACTTAAGCCTTTGATATTGTTTCGTTGTATTGTAAAGAGAACTACAATACCTTCAGAATCTTTCATATGAGCTACAAATTTTCCCTATCATTTCAAAATACAATCTGTATTACAATGGTTTATATACTTAAATATTGATTAAAGTATCTGATAACTAGAAAAAGTACTGACTTTTATATGAAAAAAACCAAACAATAATGATAATTATTGTCGAGAGATTTTAAGTATTCACTGATGATCTGACTAAAACCAGTTTTTGATATAAACTTATAAATTAAGCAGACGCCATCATATTTCTTCATTTATTAACAAGAATAGTATTTGAGGATGGGCATTAAATTTTAATTTACATTTTAAATTCTTCAAAGCTATTCTTAACCAAGTGGAAATTGTTGATATTGTGAAAGCATGTATAGTAGACTACTTCAGTTTTAAAGTTTTATTGCTTTTAATGTAGAAGTTTAGGTACAAGCTTTCAAATATCAATTCTCCTAATCCAATTGTGCGTAATTTCATACGATCATTTTAACGTTGTTGCATTAACTTCTGTGAAGAGTTAAATTTTTGAGTCACAATTTTCCCTTAAATAGAAGTTTAAGTTTATATTGCATAATTTTTGAAATGAAATTAGAAAATATTGAAATTACTTATTAATTTCGGTCGTTATTGTATGTTAAAACAAATATAATTTTATGCTAATGAAAGTGACCTATTTGGATAAAAAAAGTAAAGTTGATACATTTTAAAGAAAATATTTGATTGTACACTTTCTAGCCAGTGAATGGATGAATCGCCTGGAAAACAAAATGTGACTACAACATGTATATTATTGCTGAAAAATGTCTTGATGTCTTCTTTAAAAGTATAGATCTCCCACTGAAGTTATATTGGTTTAGTTAAGTAACTTAAGATTTATTTAATAATTATAGATAACAATACCACGTCTGTATTCATATAATATATAGAAATCTAAATTTCGAATGATTTTTTCCTTGTATGCTTTTTTTTATCTAGTGACATTTCCGATCATTTAAAAAAGCAACAACAACAAATTGTAAATGTCGGTTCAACATTCAATACTGAAAATCAGTCAACCACACATTGGTCAAATTTCGATTGGACAAAATTAACTAATCATGAAATTAAATTATTGTTAGAGAAATTACATTCACTCGGTAAACTATACGGTTGTATTGATTGCCAAACGTTTTATTTGGATAAGAATATGGCAAATTATCATTCGAGTAATATGCATGGTAATTTCAACGATCAATCATCATCATCATCATCAGTAGGCAATTGTAATAAAAAATTTGAATGTTTTCTATGCGGTGTAGATTTAAATAATCCTTTATTATTTTTGGAACATTTTACACATTGTTTATCATTGAAAAAATATAATGGAATAGATTTACTGATGACACCAACTACTACTGAGCCATCAATTATTCAATCTGATAATAAAACCATTAATGATAATAATAATAACAGTAATAATAATAATGACGAAAAGTGTAATGAATTGACTGAATATGAAGATGAAGGCGTCAGTGAACAATTATTGAATGAAACAATACAAACTACAAAAGATACTACTTCACAAGAATCACATACTGTTAAATTAATTACAGACAATACTAGTGATAATGATAATATTGATCATGATCCTATATCGATAAATGTAAAAGATCAAACAGAGATACAAGTGAATGGTTATTGTATGGAAGATATAAAACAAGAACATGAACAGTGTGATGATATGCATACATCATCACCATGTAGTGTAGTATTCTCTGATTCTGTTGATTAATTTACTGTAAAATCTGTTGATAATTTATGAAATAAATACAAATGTTCATTTTTCCTTCATTTAAGCACAGTTAAAATAAATTAACTCTATTATTCAGTATTGATTTAAGTGAATTGTGTAAATCATGTTAGTTTGCCAAAAAAAAAATTGATGATGTTTGATCAGGAGAATAAAATACAACTCTTTCTCTCTGTTATATCCCTTCTAATACTACTATTGTTTACCTCCAATGCCAAACTACATTTCCATTTCAGTTTATTTGTAGTCATTTTATTTGGTTTTGTAACTTTGTTTGTTTGTTTATTTATTTGTTAGTTTTTCTATTTTAAACAAACGTTAAAGTATGCAATGACACATTGAACTACAATGCATTTAAACTAACTCAGGTATAAATGTAATTATATATATATATATATATATATATATATATATATATATATATATATATCAGTCAATGAAACAAACTAATGATCTGTCCAGTCCAAAAATTTCCTGTTTACACTTTGTACAGTTTATTAGTTCGAAACTATTTTTATGCAGTCGGTTTTCTCTTGCATTTTTCTAAAATAGAAAAATGAGATAAACTATTAACAGTTATGAATATTTATTGGTAAAACATTATTATTATTATTATTATTGATAAAAATCATAATTACGCATTTTCAATGTCCGTTTCGTTGTTTCTTACCTCTACCTATTTTTCCAAAATTTGCATTAAATGGATTTAAATTTATTTGTTCGTTTATAATAAATTTTATCTAGTTGTCTGTTGAATTTTGGTCCATTTGTTTATATTTTTACATGTGTGTAAATTTTCGTTTTATTCCATTCATCTGTAAAAACAACTCGGCAGTGATGATGTTGATGAAGATGAGTGATTGACCAAAGTATTCAATATTGATTCACATACACATATTTGTATGTATGAGAAGGATGGTATTTCTCTATCACTGTTGTTATAAGCCAAAGTCGATCTTTAAGATTAGAATATATTCTGTTCTCATGTTAATTTGTCTATCATCTTCAAAACTAGCTGTTAACTATGAAAAAATTGTTTGCGAGAATATTATTAATAGTGAAGAAGCCAAGAAGCAGAGCAAAGAGTGAAGGACCAATAATAATAATAATAATAATAATAATAATAATAATAATAACACGTATTAATAATAATAATGTTAACAGTCAAAACTAAGGATTTCAGAATTACTTTTCCCTTGTAATTAGATGCATGTTATGTCGCAGTGCACAGTGTCCAATGATTGACTTCCTCTTTCCCTTCGTTACTACTAATTTTTGTTTGTTTTTCTTACTGTTTCTGTTACCGGTATTTTGAAGTTTTTTCAAGTATATATTACTTTTCATAATTGAAACACTTAATCAAAAAAAAAATATAATACGTACAGTTTTTGGTTCTCTTTTATTTTTCATCTTTTACATTGAGCAAAATGAATGCACATTCAGACATAGTAGAATTTGACAATACTAGCATTTGAGTTTCTTTTAACGAAATAATCCCAAAGTTCATGTATATTTACATGTATATTTATTGTACCTCATGAAAGTATAATCTTAATAGCCATTAGAAATCTTGTCGATATAGATATAAGATAGAACTAAATATTGGAACTCAACAGATATAACTAGTAAAAACAGTCATGAACTGTTTAAATGAGGGATAAACTAATTGTCTTGGCCCTCATCACTCATATGATGCAACAGTTTACCAAAGTTGATGAGGTGAAAGCGAAATACAAAGCTTGAAACAAATGCATAAGAGAATTAGCAAAGGTTATTTTAGGAACAGTTAATAGTCAAGTGCATGCAGTAATAAAGATATGATAAAACTTGATATGGTTTGAGCTATCACACTGTTGATATTTTGGACGGAAATTTGACCAGTCTTGGTCTGTACATGGGCTTCCGTTGCGAATCACCTCGATATAGCCACTATGATTCCAGCTGATATAAAATGGATGGAATATGGATAGCAATCGAATCTAGGAAGCACATTTCGTCCTATTTGGAACTCGTCAATCGGCTGTACCTGCATCCCAGAGTTAAAGTTCATTCCTCAAGTCGAATGGAGTACTGCTGGCTTAAAACGCCACGTTATTCATATTTTTACCGAGTCTTTAAAAGTCTAATATGTGAATGGTTGGCTAAGTTATTCAGACTAAAAGATGGATTCATTAGCCTGTAAATCCCTTCATACCTCTTTGTATGAGAAGAGAGTTATTTCACCTGTGTAATTTTAGAAAGAATACACAGGATTGTTCTTGTTAGTTAATGTCTTACTTTGGTATCTAATATTAACCAGCCGAATTCACAAATACTTGACAATGTTATATACCAACATTGAATATGATATTACTTTTCAGCTTTTATTAATCGGCGTATTACTTTGGATAATCTAGTTCAGTATTCTATATTATCGAATACAACATTTATCAAAATAAAGTATTTTTCTGACTATTGGGAAAAGTGTTATGAATTATAATCATCAGCTAAGATATTATAAAGATTATTGAAGAAATATTCAAAACAATCTGGCTAAATATAAACAAGTTAAACAATGCAGTATCCAACATGTCTAACATCTTTGTGATGAGCCTGGGTAGACCAAGTGATTTCCTTGCATTAGCTTCTTGTTGTTTTGGTACAATCACAGGTCTTTGATAATGTTCAACGATCGGAAAGACGTATCCAGGTGTATAATCGAGGGTAGGGTCACATCCTTGCGGTCGACGCATGGATCTTCGATATGCATAACTTACTTGTATCGAGTTTGAAAAGATAAACAAGCACTACTCAAGACAGTGCCTTATGCGTATTTTGAAGAGGGTAAGTTAGAAATTCTTAGTTAGGAAGTTCTTATTTATGAACCCCATTAGCAGCCTATGTTTAGAAACAATAAGAGAGGCATGTCCTTCCAATTTTCAGCTTCTTAGGTAATAAATAGCTAGATCGTGAGCTGTTATGAGTGTCCGGATCCTACAGTTATCCATGTAAAGTAGTATTTCATACTCGAACACACTATTTCTAGTTGGTTTGTTAGCTATTTGAGGGTTTGTGTAACCTGAGTGAACTTTTCTCAGGGTCCTAGAGTTTCTGTAACCATCGGTTATCACTCTGTCAGACAGGAGGCTGGCTGGTCTGTCACAATGTCCAAAATATGAAGAAATTATAACACAGAAAGCTGAGATGAGAATATTGTCTGAAAAAGTAGAAATTTAAATAAATGTACAAATTAGTGATGCAAATAATGTTAGCGAACTGAAGTGTAAGGATAAAATGGAAACGAAAATGGTAGTCGATGAGTTGTGAGATATATAAATGTACAGCTAGTCGTAGTTGGAGATGGGGATCCATGAGTATGTATTTATCACATCTCCTCCTATAGCTAATCATTAACGGGACTTTGATCATTTCCAATGAGACAGCGTTCCATATGAGGGTTAACTCTTAGTAAGAATAAGTGGGTTTATACCTGGGTTTTTGCCTCTTGAGGGTTTCCAAGCCGAGTACAATGGTGAAGTCATGGCAAGACGTTTGTATTGGATTGATTTGGTGTACTTAGTACATTGTGTGCGATCATTAGATAACCTCTTATTCTCCCATAACCGAGAGAATAATTTGAAATGTCGTAGTCTAACTTCGCAAGATTTGTTTCTCCGCCGGGTATCTGTCGATTGTAACTTCCTAACTCAAATGAGTGACACAGTTGGCATCAAAGATTTCTGACACTTGTAATCGATAAGATCTTCACTATTAGACCCTTTGAGGGCACAGGTTCAAGTGTTTATAGATCTCTGCGAGGTCATCAGCTGTAAAGTAGTATTTGACACGTCCCTGTGCCAATATATGGGACAATCCCTTCATGTGTATCTTTTTATCACGATTATGTCATTTCCTGCATCGTTGTTCGTATTTCCGTATATTAGGTTTACTCTCAGTTATTACCGTCTTATTTACAAATTATAAGTTGTAACCAAATTCTTGATGTTGTTAAATCCTTTGATGACTGTACATCTCTCACGTTGATGTCAGTAAATTGTAGGCAACCATTATCGTTAGTGACTGTAAAATATCAACGATGCGGACACAGTGAAATTCTAAGCACTCCGGACTTAACATGAAAGTATAGAGATATTTTGGATTAGTTTGAAATTTAGCTAACGGCTTGGTCTGAAAATATCTGTCGCTTTGTACTTTGTCCTTAAGTTCCCTCCCTAGTATTCTCAAGTAAGAGCTGCAGTTAGGATCCTCTGGTTAAACCTTCGGTTTATGCTAGTTTCTCTTTCATGCAAGTTTCAGGGGTGCTGTGCTTTAATTAAGCCGGGATTTTCCTCTTCCAGGAGTGTTTTGATTTGAGATGCGCTGTACAAGATAGCTTACAGATTAAAATCCTTCACCATCCTTCAGAGGTTAACCATTGATAACTTACAAAGTAGTATGGAAAAGTCAAGTATGTTTATAAAGCACATATAATCAAAAGAGTTAAATGTTAGATTAGACATATAAAGAAATAAGAGGGAGGAAATGACTAACAACTTTTCTGTCGACTGGGCAAAATCTGTTGAATGTTACTGTTTAGTTATTAAACGTGGCCTTCCGGAAGAAACTGACGTTTTTACGCTCTTTCGACTAAGTATACTTAAACGGCAGTATATACAAAAGTTAAAATGATGGAACAGTGAATAAACATGATGATGTTTTGGTGGTGATCGAGTCGAGATTGTCTATGATCACCACTAAGTACTCATTACTATCCCGTCACAAATTATACAAATAAATCCAGGGTTCAGTATTTATTTGAAGGAGAAAGTAGGCGTTACATCGCGCAGCAATTTATGAAAGATGGCAGCAACGCGAAAAAGAACGTTGCGTGCAAGTAAGTGTTTTCGGTACAGTTAAGCAAAAGGAGTACAATAATAAATGTTTATTTTTCACCGATCGCGCTTTCTTCGTAGTAGTGTTCCACTACAATGTGATAATAAGAC